AAACGCATGACGATTCGTATCATCTGGATTACGCATAGCTTCTCTGCGATTTACGGTTCGTATATCTTAAGCGTAGCTTGGACACCCTCCCCCCCAATACATTTTGCTGGATCCGCCACTGAAGTTTGCTACTGATTACCTGTGACTGACTGGGATACACGTTACAGGAAATCATTTGGCTAAACGACAGTTTTCTATTAGTCACATTGCACCAATTGAAGTTGACACTAGTCTGTCATTACTGGCGATCTGAGTGCCAACGTAGCTTGTACCCAGAAACGAACGTTTTTCTGGAGCATCGTTGCGCCCAGGTCAAACCTCATACTTGTGAATTCCATTCAAAAGAGCGCATTGGATTGTGGGAAAATCAATGTTTATCAACACAAACGTCACACATGCGCAGGGCAACAACCACTGCGCTTTAAATAACAAAATATAACGTCAAGTTCTCATGTTTGGAAACAATTCGAAAACAACTTCAATAGCACACAAATGCTATTGGTAAGGATCTAGAAGGCTTCTACCAACTTCTTCAAATAGCACTCAGACTACAATAATAGTCTGAGAATAGTTATCGCTTAATGTGGCATTCAATGAATAATTTAATTATAACTAATGCCAAGCGTCAGGAAGTGTAAACCAAAACGATTGATATATGTTTACTCTGAATAAATAATATTTAACTGTTTGAAATTTTGTTGAACGATATCCTTTCCTTTAAATTTAAATTCATTTAAAAACTACTGATTGAATTGTCCTTATAAACTATGAAAGATGTCATCACGCCAATTTGACTCAGCTGAGTTGCCAGCTATGCTGAGTTGCCAGCGGAGAAGTTACCACAGCCAAGTTACCCCCTCATTTTACTCACGCCCTTTTGACTTAAATTAACATATTCTTGTAGTATTGCACAGAAACACGCCCTAGTATCAATGTTAATGCGCAAATACCATCCTTATACCCGACGGAAACAGTGTCGAATCCAGCTGATAACATGGTTTTCTTATAGGACTGAACCACGCCTATTGACCCACCACCGGTTTCAACGTAGAGTGATGGGATTGGGGTGGAATGGGAATGTATAACCCGAGTAACACGAATAACAGTGGACTAATTACAATATGATGAAATTAACAACCCATAATTAATGAGTAAACAAATCCATAAAACCCAGTTATCGTACCCTGGATTAATTGTTAATTAGAACCGAATATAAATCTGCCTAGCATTTTCTTATCAACGCGTCTTTGTAGCATCCATAGTTCTGGTAGAAGTTCAAGGTCTAACACAATCCCTCCGCAATCGAATGAGCGGCATATTACCTCGTCCGGATACTGACATCTTAATTGATGCGTACATACTGCACTGTCTCTGAAGACATAGATAACCGGAGGCTCAACTGTAACTGGATCACGACTGACGTCATCAACATGGGGGTGACGTAACTCAAAGATAGAGAGTGACTCGGGAGTGTACGGGTGATTCTGCGTTTATATGCCAGATGTGCCACAGTCAGAAAATACTATATTCCAGGGCGCAAATGATATCATAACGGAAATGATAAATACGACAATCGGCTGTTACACTGATTAAATTCAATCCTCTGGTGTGTTTCAAAAGTCATAAAAGCTAGAAAGGCCGCTATGGCAAATACTACTAAATTAGGCTATTGCGCATAATATTCATCTCAATGATAAACCCTACACTTTCTAAGAACTATCATTGAGGTATTTGCATATGATCTTTCAACTTGGTTCAACCTTGGATAATTTATTGTACTATGTCTTGCCAAAAGAACAATTCTTTTTTGCGATGAAGCATTTTCTACTATATTTGTCAAGATGTAGTTTCAAATGAAAATATTTCAAAAATACTCAATATTATTTACATTTACTCTTTGATAGTAATAATTGCGCTGATACCAGAGTAGACTATGCCTGACTAGGATTTTATTTAAATCAGAAACATCAGTTTACAAATCGACAATGTACAAGGCACATTCACACTGTAAATGTCAGGAAAGAACTTGTAAATATCATTGTATAAAATATTATAACGCATTTCTACAACAGGTGGAGAATTGCTGGCTCTTTAACCTTCCCGATTTGGCTCAAGAAAACCCGTATGTCGACACCGAGCTGTGCACATGGATTGATTGGTTTATTAAAACATTTGACTTTGATGGTCTGAGAATAGACACAGTTTCACATGTATGTATATTTGCATATTTTGTGTAAACAAGAAATGTATTTAACACACGTTGTATACGTCGCCATGAGTCCCATGTCGATCAGGACGCGGTGTGACGACTACATTGATTTAATGATTTTTGCCACTGGACCAATCATTGCGCTTCCACATTGCGCACAATTTCGTGGAGTGACCTTTGACCCAGTTTACATCTGTGTATTTTCCTCAATTAATATGTATTTCAAAGGTTCCGAAATGGTTCTGGGAGCACTTTTACGCCGCGGCAAACATATACGAAGTCGGGGAGGTTTACACCAGCGATCTAGACAAGAATACAATCATATATACCACCCATGGATGCCGCGCTCAACTACCCGCTTTACTGGGCTATGAAGGACGCTTTCATATGGGGAGGAACCATGCGAGATATCGCTAATATGTACCGTGACGAGGTAAGTCAAACAACTTAATAATAGGTTCACGCCCTCTATAGGTATACCGGTAATACACATCAGTTACGCAATGACGCGTGTGTAGTCGTAAGTCATTTAAAATAGAATCTTCTTAAGAATATTATTTTTCATTCAATTTGATGGACAATGACATATGTAAGAAATAATGATAATGTAAGCGACCTTCTTTCTATTTATTCACGTCACATAAGCACCAGAAGTTCGCCATAACCTGCATTTTCAAGAACGATGAATTTTACACAAAGTCATAACAAATGTGATGAATGGAATATGTTATTTAACTGTAGGTTATGTCGTCACTTCTGGAAACTGTCATAGATTAGAAAATGCCATTTATTAAGTCCCTCTGTGCGACATTTGTTTCCATTTTCAGAAATACCGTTTTGGTGATGGACTACATCTTTTTGGTAATTTTGCTGACAACCATGACCAAGCCAGGTTCCTGTGCGATAAGGATTCTTGGACACTGCTCAAGAACTATATAATGCTCGTGCTGACTATGGAGGTAATGCGCTTTGTATATATTCCTGGTATAAATACCGTAATGGCGAACATAACGGTATTAATCCGAGTAACAAACAAATACACTCAGAAACAAATGTTTATTTTAATTATAGCCAAACAATAAAATAAACTTTTGTTTGTTCAGTCCAAAATGTGCTTTGAAACTTGTGAAGTTGATATATATCCATGCCAAACATTCACGTAATAAGCTTATTAAGTGTACTTCCTGTAACAGCTTTTGAGAATGATACTAATACTTTAATTTTATTTAATTTAATTTGCAGGGTATTCCTATAGTTTACTATGGTACTGAACAAGGCTATGACGGATGTGCTGATCCTAATAACAGGGAGTCTCTGTACCCGAATTTCGATACTAACCACCATCTGTATCTGGTACGTCGGTGGCTTTTCCTTCGTCTTTATTCCACCAATGTATTGTGGGTGTGACGTAAATAAATACAACAAGCTGAATCTTATGATTCTTTCTGTCTTCTGTATTTTCATAGTTCATTCAAAGGACCCACCAGTTCCGTGACTTACTCGGAGCGAATTTCCTGAATGCCGATCAAATTGAAAGATGGCAGGACGACTCCTTCTTTGCATTTACAAGGCATGATGTAAGTTAATATTTTACGTAACACAGCAAATGTGTTTATAATTTATAGTGATTTGCACCAGATGACTTTGTAATACGGCACTATCCTTGATTTTAATCTCTGTATCAATCAATCTTTATGACATATGCAACGTAAAGCGTTAAATCTAAAATAAGACTTGAATTCAGACGACAGACCTCAAATTACTCTCGGATTGGTATGGCCGTTGTCGACATTGTAAACACTTTTTGGCCATAGCGTGTCATTGTTTACAAACAAGCGTCTACCCATGAGCCTTTACTTTTTTAGCGCGTGTTGTTATCGTCGCTGGGAACTCAATTCCCGCGCGTGCGCAGGGGTTGACCCTCCCAGGCTTTAAACCACCAAACAAAAATACGATCAGTCAGTCTTCAATCGAAATCGCTGTCAAAAATAACCTGACTCGGGGATGAAGAAGCTAACGGCACTGCCGGTGTCATGCAGTCGACACAGGAAGTCTCGGAAAGTACATTACTACTCGTACGTAAGTGAGAATGACCGAGTTTAGTAGGTATCCATTGGTTGAATTCCAAAAATCTCTGCTGGCCTTCATCTGTTGCTACTGTAACGCTGGGATATAGGACACATAGACAAC